ATGATAAACTGACGACTATTGATTGCTTCTTTTAAATAGATGTATTTTTTCGTCTGGGTTGGATAAAAAAGATATTATTTAGTTGGTGGCACTGATTGTTGTTGTTGCCGTCTTTTAGAATACTAGTCTGTTAAAAAAGAAGTGCTAGTGTTCGAATTAGCTTGTACTACTAGGCTCAAATAGAAACAATAGAAATAAACATACCGAATTCATATTCAGCTTCTGTGCTAAGAAGTGATCAGTAAGGCTCACCGGAAAAAATAGTTGGTCTTTTGACGACCTGATCTCAATTAGCATGGATTCCCACACAAGTTTTTGAAATAGTCGATGAGTTTTTCAATTCAGATAGCCCAATAAAATTGCACGTGCGTTTGCCCAGATGAACATACACTGCGTGGAAAAATGCATTTGGCACAACAATATTGCTAACTGAAAAGAAATATTTTTCACGGTTTCCATGTCCTTTTAGGCGATTTCCACAAGGATGAATTATAAAGAAAAAAATCTATGCACGAAAATGCAATATACAAAACATTTTTCATTGAAGAAAATCTTGGAGGTGGTGACTGTCATGCATTGAGGCATCTAAGACAAAAAGCAGTTTTCATAAAGCCACATATATCGTTCTGCAAACAAGGTTTGGTTTGGGGGAGGGAAACAGAGCGATTAGTTTAACTGTGTTAGCGTATATCACGTTCATGACTAGTTTGGTAGAATAGCAGAGGCAGCTGCTGGTGAACATTGACACAGAGTCACTTCCCACAGGCTAACTTCAAAGTGTCCCGTGTTTTGACCATTCATGATCACTGGTCCATACTCTAGTCTTAATAAATGCTATGCAAGTGAACTTTAATTTTCAAGTGATTATTGTCACTGAGCCTCCCTCCAGTAAGTTCAGCACGGAAAGCGGTTTCCGTCAGGGTTACTCTCTATCTCCCTCTCTTTTGCTATTCAGTTTTATATTGGGTTTAATTCTGTAAACAGTCCTTATGCTCCCTGGTGGCAAACTGTCTATCCTGAAGCATACAGACGATACCGTACTGCTAAGTAATGATCCATGCACATTGCAAGCTTCTCTGGATGGTTTGTATGCAGTTGTATCAATGCTTGGCATGCGGTTTGCACCTTCAGAGTGTAAGTATTTTTTTACACAACCGAGTTGATACGGCTCTAAATCTCACCGTAACTAGGGGAGTACTAGAGAAAGTAGACTAATTCGCAATTAACTCACACTTACTTGTGAGTAGTAGGGGGGAAATATATTGATTTGAAGTACACTAAGTTTAATACTTCGAAGTTATTTTACACCTGGAGGACACATCACGACATGCATATAACAGGCTTGGTTGGAATCTACCAACGTGAGACATGTATGGTGCTGTAACAATATTTAGCTGTCTGTAAACGGTTGAAAAGTTTAGGAACAGTTTTAAGTGATCGCGGCCGTCCATCGGAGAAAGTGCTCGATCTCCATGGATTGTATTGGGTGAGACGTGAGTCATGCATGTCGTGAAATGGATTTCTACGAGATGAAATGTTTACCGAGGGAAGTATTCCATGGAACAAAGTCAAGGATGACCAAACTATCATCCTTGCTTGTCGCCATGAAACTTTGATCGAAAGGCAGCAATATTTCAACCACGTTGGGCTTCTTGGTTGGGGATCTCGGGATTCGTGTAGCCGATAATTAGTGACACTCAGTGATATGGCTGAATATCGTAAATAGTGGCGCTCGTGCATGTTCTTATAAAGTGTATGTATATTTAGTCTTAGTTCTTAGCCTCTTTGCAATCTTGGGTTTTGCAATAACCTTACTTCCAAATATGTCAGTCGTCCACCGTAACCTTCATCCAAATAGGTAACCAAAAACAGTCACCAAAACTGCCCTATGTTCCAACCAACTTTAATCTCATAGACAGTCTGAAAACCGTATCATGTTTTGATTTTTGCGCATGAATTGAATGTTTCGGTCGAAAATACTTTAATTTCTCTTTGAATCTTCTCACACCCATCGATAAACTTTCAAGTAACCAATATTGTATCCAGAACATCTTTTTAAACAATTTCTGTTAGTGGCATCACCCTCCTAAAATTGAACGGTCTCCATTTATTTTTCTAACTGATGAGCTTGATCGGTATTTCTGAAGCGGTTTTCTAAATGGTAAGCTTATGTTTATGTTTTCATCTTTTATAACTAAATGCTTTTCCAAAAGTCGAAACATTCATTCTGACCAACAAACCACTTAGTTCCGTGGAATTTAGACCATGGTTTGACCACCAGCTAAAAATGCCGTTTCATGACACTCAATCCCTAGCGAACGTGGTTCATCAGACCACTGTCCTGTTTTATCATAATATCGAATTCAACCGCGGATCTCGTAGTGCGATAACGGAAGCTTTCAGACTTCTTGCACTCCGGCCCAACTAAGAATTGAAGAGTGAGAGAGGTAATATTAGAGTCCTGATCATCATTCAGGTCACTTTTACCCTCCCAATTCAGGACGGTCGGAGATATCACTTGATGCGGGCACTGTCATAAACAGTGAAGCTCATGCATCTATTCACACTCTCCACAGATCTGGATTACTTGGCTTCGGTGTTTTTCGACTGCTCGCGATCCTAGCTAAAAGGTGGCAGCTGGAATCGGTGCAGGAAAGCGAAAGTTAAAGGGCATCATCGCGCACCGAATCTCTTGATTTGTCGAATTCTTGAATAATCGTATTCTCAGAACATAATTTGATTGGATAGCAACTGCCACGAGTAGGGGGGCAGAGCACAGTGCAAAGCTTGGAATAATTTGTTCATGGCAAGGTGCCCGTGGAAACTTATGAAAGTAGCAGCAAACATGAAAAACATGTGTGTGTGAGAGGAGTGTCTGTCCTAATTGTAATCAAGCGTCTCGCTTGCTTGCAGATTACGGACCAACTAGTTGCACTGAGTCATTGATCACATTCACTGTCCCGGAGTGACTTTTATTCTGCGAGTATGTTTCCTTTGTGAGAAATAGCCCCCTAATCTGAAGTTAGAGCTGATCATCAATATAAAAACAGTGCACTCCTTTCGTTTTCGTTCACCGTTTGATTCCTCAGAGTGGGAAAATTCCTCGAGCAATTTCAAGTCTGTTACGATAAAAATCCACCAAATCGAGTTCTTTAAGGTCCCGAAGATTCACGGAAATTTAAAAATTTCCAACAGACTTCTGCTCTGCGCTACTTGACTGCAATATATAGATATAGATATATATCAAGAGAGAATGAAGGCTTACACTGAGTTGGAAAATGCTGAGTGTAATGTTTGGATGCAAACTAGGACTCGTTGAGAACCGTAAATGGAATTCATGAGATAATGGGATTACCGTCTTTCCGTACGTCTATGTGTTAGTTGTGCGTCTATCAGTTCATCAATCCTTACGGGTTTTGCAAGTGCGACGGAATGTTTGTCAATCTCGACGTGTCCGCTGAATGAATTGACCCAGTGTAAAGCTTTAAGGATTAATCGTTACCCATTCTTCTTAGCTTGCGCCACCACCTTTGCGTTATCGATCGCGATCTCGTGACCTGTCCGTACACAGTGGTTCCAGATTTGTGACCTCGGGTCAGCGAGTCGGAGGGCAAGCTTGTGTTTGTGTAGGCGAGTGCTTAGTTGTTTGCCTGTCTCAGCAATGTCGTGTTGATTGCAGTCCAGGCACGGGATCGAGTAGATTACACCTGATCTTTCGTGCTGTTCGACACTATACTTGCCGTTGAAGAGAAACGATCTCACGGTTGCTACTGATTTATGCGTTATCTTGATTCCCAACGGTCGGTGGCTTCTGACGTACCGCGTATTTAGAGTAACTTTATCCGAATTCCCTCTTTTGTGCGTTGTTTGTTTTTTTACCCCTGATGCACGTGTTATTAAAGCTCTTGGGATATGCGTTAGATGAGAACAGTTGAAGGAGTCCACTTCTTTCTCTTGTCCTTAGCTCCAGTATGCTGCAACGTGTGTTCGCTCGGCAGAATATCTATGAAAATGAGGCTGAGCAGTTTTTCAGTTATATGTAAGTTGTAACTGTGAAAAATAGCGATGTCGGTACGGGTCAGAGTAAGTTGACGTTTCGGTTACTGTGAGTAGCCTTTATCAAGGCGATCTTAAAATCATATATATATATATATATATTTCTCAGCATCGTTTAAAATGAATCAAACTGCCCTCGGGAATTCAAATGCCTCAGTTAAAATTATGTTTAGAAAAATTACTACTAACTGAAAAACTGTTCAAAAAGCCTCATTTTCATTGTTGTTCCCTTGCAGTTCATGGCCCACTGCTGCCCACGGTAATTCTTCTATCACAAGCTGGGATGTTACCGAAGTTCTTTGGGTCCGAGGCAATAAAACTGTGAACACATCTAAATACGACCGATGGTGGGGAACCCTGTGAACACTGACTCACATAATTTAGATGAAGTCTCGGTTTATCTTACTTCGCTCTTTACTTTAGAAACCTTGTTATGTTAACAAACAAAGGACCATATTTCACCTTGCACAAGGTCACGTTAAAATTATAAGATCACGTGACAGGAAATGCGTTCAGAATACTATGCATCAAACATCCCCACTCAACCAACGATTCAGCACGCCTTCGTCTTCAGACATGGATATCGTGAACGATTGCATGCGATTGTGATACGACGATAACTAAAACAATACAATTACCAAGTATATATTGCATTACGTTTGCAATTCAGTTCCATTTCTTTGTTTGGTATTGCCCCGGGTCTCGTTCAGCCAACGTATCCCGTTTATTCTGAAAAAATAGAACGTATAGATGTACGCCAAATTTCTTTGGGAAATCCACACTCAGTAGAGCTCATCATGACGCGGATTATTTTAGTTGATTGATTGGGAGTTGGGCTCCGCACTGCGGACACGTTTTTTGCTGTACCAACTCGTTAGAATACGTTCGTTTGGTCTTGCTGGACCCAATGAGATTTGCATTGCTTGTTGACCGAATTCTAACGCTTTCAAACTGCGATCAATGGAAGATGCTTCCCCAGAAATAGTGATGATGAGGACACATTTGGCTTGACCGCCCAGACAAGGTTTGAGCAAATGGGTCAATTTTGAATCTCGATACGGTGCGGGAACCGGAGCTCCAGAAACACTTGTAGAAAAGCATTGGTTACGTTTACGCAGCGCCTCGAACACGCGGGCCAGAGTGACTAGAGATTTGTTTATGAATCCCGTCTCAATGTGAATTTCACCGCTTGCCTCTATACGTTCTGCGCTTTCGGAGCCGGCTAAATCACACAAGATTAGCGACGAACTTCGACGCGTCTTCTCGAACAAACTCTGCAAAACCAGCTGTAAACGAATAATATGGTGTGATCGGGATGATTCAACATTTAACTTTGTGGCGGTTACTTTTCTTCGTTTATGTCCTTTGGCAATCCAGAAGAGCATGTCCTGTTCACTTGTCGCCACCTTCTCCTCGGCATCAATCAATCGAATTTCAGTTCCATCATCAGACAATTTTACAGGGCGAATTTGATCACCCAGTAAATCGTAAACAACCTCATTGTGAATTTCAAGCATAGCCACACTAACTTGAACCTCCCAAATACCCTGAAGCGGTTGACACAATTCGAACAACTCGCTTACTGCCCGCATTCCGACCCCTGGGTCTTTTTGCACACCTTGCATAGTGTAAGTCTTTCCTGATCCAGTTGGACCATAGGCCATAATGCAAACATTGTATCCGTCCACACACGATGCAATCAATGGCCGAATCTCCTCGAACACATCCAACTGTGTAGCGCCTGGACGGAATACACGATTAAATGTGAACGATTCTTCACTTGTGAGATACGTTGCCGGTGGATCTACACCCAAATGACGCTGATATGCATTGGAATTGCCTCGAACCACAGTGGGCACGGTGATTCGATCCAGCGAATTAAATTGAATGAGGCAAGGATCACCTGAAG